GTATTCTCAAAAATACTTAGTAGTTTATGATTTTTCCATTGGGAACTGTAACAGTTTAGTAACTAGTGATTTTTGTGAGATGAACACAGTACTCTATCTGCCATGAAAGAAAATTTACATGAGAGTAGAATGGAATGTTCTCCTTTCTGATAATAAGGCTGGAATGTTTTTTTTTCTGGTGTGGGATCGTCCATTGATCCAATTTACCATTTACCTGTATGGCACACCTTGTATAGTGAAAAGAGAAGAAACTAGAATACTCTTTCTAAGAATGACGTAATAAAAGGTAGGAAACCACTAATAATGAGAGGTTATATTGGGGGAAATTTTTCATTTTCCTTGAAAATATTACTGAAGAGACACCACATCAATCTAAAGAGCATAGTGGTTTGTTAAATAAAGTATCCTCTGAAGCACTGACTTTCAACAAAGAAGAGATTCTCTCCCTTTTAGGAAATAGAAATATAGAGGAGTTAGGTGTATTTTGTTGGTTAGTAAAAGATCTGGTTGAATTCCCTCCAATTCTCCATATCTTGTTTCCATTAGGCTAAAATAATTTCTTTGCTGCAGCCCTAGTCCCTGTTTATTAGTTATGATTAAGGTGCTTTAGTTGACTTATTATACCTTTGTAAATGAACGTAGCCCTTTAGGAGTACTAATATAAAGAACTACTCTATGAAGCTCCTATTTGTATATGGTGATCTAACTTGCTTAGTGTTTACCATTTATATATTTCCTTCTTCCTCTAGCTTCAAAGGAACATTCTGGCATCTAATCCCAGAGTCACAAGATTCCACATTAATTGGGAAGATAACACAGAAAAACTGGAAGATGCAGAGAGCAGTAATCCAAATCTACAATCACTTCTTGCAACAGATGCATTACCTTCAGCATCAAAGGGATGGTCCACATCAGAAAACTCACTCAATGTCATGTTAGAATCCCACATGGACTGCATGTGACCACCTGCCATCCCTTTAGTACAAATTAAGCTATAAAAACACCAGAACTATTTCCCTGAAATTCCGTAAGTACATAGTCAAGACACAATGTGAAGAATTTGTTTAAAAAAACATCCTGTAGAAAGTTTATAAGAAAACCAGTATTTGAGCAAATTGTGGAATATAAATACAACTATTTTTAAGTAATTTTTTTCTCTAATGTGTTATTTTATTTGTTCAAAACTACTCTGATTAAAACATATATATTATTTTCTTCTCCTTTATATGTAATTAAAGCACTTATAAAGAAAAATATGAATCATTAGACCAGGTTGTCAAGATGTCTTAGCCTCTTGGACAATAATCGTTGGACCACTACTGGCCTTTGAAAGAACAAACTTCACTTCAACTATCATGTTTCCTCCTGTGACAACATATAGTTTGGTCTAATTTAAGGGGTAAATTTCCATTCTTTTGGCATTTCCCTAAAGAAGGGATTTGAAGTCAACTGTATGCTACCAAGAACTTCAGGATCTGATTTTCCAGGCCACCTTGAAGCCTCTTATGGCTGCTATTACAGTTCCTGTAATGTTAGCATTCAGTTTGGTTTCTAAGATAATAACAAATGTGGTTACTTGTTTATAAGATCCTCTGGCTATGGTTTTTGTTTTTATAACAGTTTAGGACATCAGAACACTCCCTAAATCATACATCATTATTACCCAGTGAATTCAACAGGTCAAGAGCAGATTCAAAGTCCCTAAGTTTAGAATGGGAGATTATAATGACTTAGATCTGTTCATTAGATTTATATAAAACACTATGAACTTAACTCCTTAAAACTGTTTTGACAGATCATCTGTTGTTGACAGAATTTATATAAAAACAGTGTATTTGGAAAGATATTTAGCTTTCTCATAATAGATAAGTTACTATTTTGGAAATAGATATATTTTCACACATGTACTTTTCTCCATATCCCGTGACACTCATGCAAAATAAGATTAAGCATATTTGTGGTTGACATATTCTAGCTAGCCTTTCCAGATATGTTTTTTGAAAGCAATCTTGGAAAGGAATGCATTTAACTAAATGGACCAAAAGGTTCTTTTTCTTTGATGAGAGCTAGGTCCTTCCTCAAAAAGTTTCTTATGCTCTGTTAAATTAGGTGTAGAATATTCTCATTACTCTTGCTGCTAAGCAAGACATCAGCCATATGATGCAGAGTTATGCAGTGCCTTCATATCTAAAACTTTTATACTGCACTTTTTAAAGCTTTTATTTTGAGGAAAGGAAAAGGGCATTTGTCTGAATATGGATTCTAAGTTGTATATATTTCCTGTCATTCTAAAAAAGTGAATTTGTGAAGCAAAATTTTGCTAAATGTTCAACTTGGAAATTTAATATACCAGATTATTAAAATACTGTCCACTAACTAGTTCATTGACTTTAAAAGTAAAATACGTACAACTGTTAAAACTATACGAAGAAAATTTCATTTTTGTCTAATTGCAATTAAAATAAATGTTAAAATATTAAAATGAAAATAAAACTTTCCAACAAAGAGCTCAGTGATTATATAATAGGAAAAAGATATGTGCTTGTTAGAAATAAAGCATATATAAGCCAAATTACCAAATAAAGCAATTCACTGCTGAGTTTTATTCTGATTAATTATAATGATTGGTTCGTATTGATATCAAAGGACTAGGTTTTTCCATCAATTTGTAAATGGACAGCCAATTTTCACAGACGTTTGAGACTTAAAAACTGTTATCTCATTTTAAATTTTTATGCTTCTATAAGATTATTTATTTTTTTTGGTGAGGAAAATTAGCCCTGAGCTAACATCTGTTACCTATCCTCCTCTCTTTGCTGAGGAAGATTGGCCCTGGGCTAACATCCATGCTCATCTTCCTCTACTTTATATGTGGGACGCTTGCCACAGCATGGCTTGATAAGCGGTGTGTAGGTCTGCCCCTGGGATCTGAACCTGCAAACCCTGAGCCACCAAAGTGGAGCTTGCTAACTTAATCACTACACCACCAGGCCAGCCCCTCTATAAGATAATTTTTAAAATTTAAAATTAAAATAGAAAGATGTAGAATTCAAACATCACGAACTAAGAAATTGTAGCACATATTTTTCTTTTTTCCTGTTTAGCCTCATTTACAGACACTATCTGAATTACAGCTAGAAGGTTTAAAACTGTTTTTCCCCTTTTTGACCATAGTAAATAGCTGTGTTCTGAGAAGTAAACATGAACAAATTACTCAGACCACGGAAGGATAGGTGAGTAGGTCGAGGAAGTGAGGATGTCATTTGAGCTGAGAACACGTGCAGGAAGTCTGAGAAGCATGCATGCATTTATTCATTTATAACCTTATATAACCCTAGGCTTCCATGCAGTCTTACCCTCTGGTTTTAAGATTTGGGGTTTCTAGTTTTATCAAGAAAGTCTACAGCAGCAGTTTTCAAAACTTTTTACCGTAATCCATAGAAAAAAAATTTTTTTTAAAAAGTAAAGTATGACCCCTTAACACAAATAATTATTTATATTAACAATTTTCATGAAAATGCACCTTATAGTGCATCTTTACTGTGTGCACTATATTCTGATATCTTTTATTGTATTTTCTTTGAAAGTGCTGGTTTTGACTCACTGAATTGACTTTTATGATTCTGATGGGTTGTAAAACACAGTTTGAAGAAAGTCTGGCCGTTTGGGTAGACGAGAAGTAGCAATAACTTTTCTACAGTTATAAAATTTATACTCCCTCTACCTGTCTTTTCTCTCATATCTGGATTATGATCTTGACATTAAAAAAGAGAGAAAAGTGCTAATACAGTGAATCAGCAGCCATTCACTTTAAAACTGTCCAAGTATTCTGAAATTACTAGTAACCCACAAATTAGCTAGGAGTCATTTCTTGGCACTCCATATAATTAACTTAGGAAGCATTTCACATAATTACTTGGGAACCTTTACTTGTTGTTATCATTTTTATACAGAACTCTAACAGTGGGTCATAAGAATTTTAAAATGCACGTGAAGTATTCTTATATATGTTCTTGCCTACTTCCCTTCCAGTATCCTAAAGCTTGTTCACTCCTCTCAATCCACAAATCCCTTCTCGTCAATGCTTAATGTACTGTTTAGTTATACTTCAAAACGTGACAACCCCTTACAACAGGGCTTCTCATCATGTAGGACCATTAATGGAACATTTGACGCTTTCTGTTAAGTTTTAAACTATAAGCTTCTCATAAGAAATCTGAGCACAGGCCATGGACGTTAGGCATCCCTAACAAGTAGCAAATAACGTTTTACATGTGTGAAACCAAAGCCCTAGTAGAGAAGACCAGGAGAAATATTTCCCCAATCAAAACGGTGTAAAAATACAAAATGGCATCAAAACATGTTTTTTTAAATAATTTTTTCCCAAAATCACTTCTTAATCAAATCTTGACGTTCTATCTGCAAAGGCTTTCAAATGTACTTACTGAAGAATCATAATGTATGAATGAAGCTCCATATTGCGAGGATGAAAGTACACCTTCCACATACTGAGACAAACTTTCTACCTAAGAATTTGCAGTAGGAGCTACTGTTGCCCATGCCATCTGTGAGCATGAAAAAGCCTTAAGCTCTACACTTTCTATCTACTTTTGTAAAGTGAGATTTTCCCCCTATTTAATTTCTTTCGACGTTCTGTTTGCTGGCTCTTCATAAAATGCCAGATGATTAATACTTTTTCCTGCATACGTTATGTATGAAGGTAATCAATCACTGGAGAATGAGAAAATCGAATAGGATTGTTCAAGATGCAAATAGATGCAACAGATATATGGGATAAGTTTTTGGAAAATAACTTTGTGGAGCTTTTAAAATATTTTCTTAGAGCTACAAAAGTAATGCTACATATTCCCTTCAATTTTTGGCAGTAACTCAAAAACCAGCTGAAATTTATCCTATCATAGGTACTTTTTCATAAGAAAAAAACACTGTGTTAGCTTCTGTAGTAATGTTAACTTAATTGAAATTGTCACATCAAATACCTGCACTAGTAGATCCAATTCCTGTGGTGAGCACAGATCTTGGTGTGATCTTTGCTGCATATTTGAGGAATTGAGATTTCCCTGTGCCAGGATCCCCAACCAATAGAAGATGAGATTCACCTAGAAAAAAGTAAATAATGTAAAGTTTGAAATTTCTATGAAAAGACTCATGAATAAGTGTAATTAATCAAAAAGAAAATGGTCCACTTGGAAGGCCAACACAATTTATATTTATATACTGCTTTTGCTTAAGGTCATTTGAGGAAGGATTTAACTAGAATATCTTTAGAAAAGTTAACTGTCATCATAAATAACAATCTTCAATTGATTTCTGAATGTGACATTTAAAATCTAAATTCTTTTAATAGATTTTTTTGCTATTTCCAGATGTTTGGGCCTATGTTTAACATTTTAAACAATTTTCGCTTATAAAGTTCCTGACTTTAATATATTTTTCAATACCAAACTACTGTGATTATATCTTTCCATACAAGACATATAAGTATTTTATTATATTTTTATTTAAGCACTTTTAAGTGTTCGGGATTTTTTAAGTGCTTTATAAATATCAAATCACTTATGATTCCAACAGTTAAGTGAACACCTTTTCATTTTATGAAACTTTTGTAGTTTAATGAAATATCTATCTTAAAGTACTCTTAATTTTCAAATGTAACATAAATGAACACATGAATATCCTGTGGTATGTATTATCTCACTGATCAAACAAATTTCTTAAGTAATATTTGAGTATCTTCTAAATCTATTAATAGGAAACACCTCTTTAAGCTCAACATTTAGCAGAGTGCCTTGCAAGCAGTAGGTGATCAAAACATACAATACGCATAAACTTTATTATACTTACTATTCTATACTGTACTATATTTTGGTTTTAAAGTCTCTCCTAACAGCCTGATTTACAGTAATGTTCTTTTAGTCTTTTGGTTTAGACTTTGGTTATCATAGGCCACATGAGGGCCATAATAAACCTACGTTATGCCAGATTCAGGTCAGTTGTGTGTTAGCCGCAAAAAAGCTTTCTGCCAGTTGGACATAATTACACACTTAGAGTAATCTTTGCTTGAATGCATGACCTACGGCCGCACCTCATGGCAGATGGCACATTTGCTACCTACCAGCAGAAGGGTAACCAGCAGGCAGGTAACTGAGAGCAGCCATCTGAGAGAGACACGCTGACTCGGAGACATTAAAAAGCACTATTTCTAATCTTTTCCTCTTGAAGAGAGACTGGGGATCCAATGAAAAACACAGACAGTAATAGAAATGTAAAGATTGTATTTTGTGGCACCTTTATATGCTGGAGCACAAATACATACTCACTGAAAAACTTAGGATTTCTTTCAGTCTTTGGAAAGACTGCAATTCTAGAAAGTAGCTCCTGATGCTGGACTAAGTATTAGATAGTCAGACAACTTTCAGCTTTAAAAGATTACATTTGGAGACTAAAGCTCACTAAGCAATTTTTATTCAGGAAAGAAAAATTCTAGCTTCTCTCCTTGTATGTGTTAATAGTTCTCAAAATTTTTAAAGAGGTACTAACCTCTGACCCGTGTTCCTGTAGCATCAGTCCTTTGAATCCCACCAGCCAGCACCATGGCCACAGCAAGCTTGACCAGATACATCCCAAAAACTTGAGGGCACAAGCTGGCCAATATTTCATTCCTTCCTAGGAAGGGCAGAAAGATCAGAAGTTAGCAATAATTTTCAAGAAATCCTAACTGAAACGTCCCTTCTTATCCTATCTTCCTATAAACACACTGCCACCTAAAATGATCAATAGGACCATTTCCAAATGACTAAAAGGAGTAAATAACTTTAGTTTGCTCCTAAAAGTCCTTTTCTTATTAATGCCATGAGATGAAAAGTCTGCTTTTTATTCACGGGTGTTACCTGCTTAAGTTTCTATAAGTTTATCATACTTCAGAAGGAACAGAAAGGAATCTCCTTGTCTCCCTCATTAGGCCCACATTATCCCTCAAAAATAATACCGGCTGTACTTTATACAGTAATTTCAGTAAAAGTACTCCACTGCCTAAATAAAAGGAAGGTGCTTGATCTCAGAAACAAGTCAGACTGTAGGAGCCAGTAACCGTTAACACAAGAGGTACTTGGAGCTCATGGAGCTTCTCCAGAGGTGTAAGAGAAATAAGGTCAACACCCTTTGCCAGGCAATTCAGCATTTGCTCTGAGCAGTTTGGTAAACTCTCTTTTATTAGAATAAGTTACCAGGGTATCAGGGTATTAAGAAGATCATTATAAACTACAACTCTAGCAATCCAAGCTAGAGGTCTAGATTCTTCTGATAATGTGCTTTAAATAAGAGAATATCAGTATTTTAGGTTCTGTTTTCAGAAATGTCAAAACACCAAATCTGAGGATCTGCCTATCTCATCCATGACAAAAGTAGGTGTTTCATTCAGTCACTGGCCTAATCAACCAGCAGAGGCTCTCAGAACCTATGAGGTTCTAACAAGCCTTTCCTCCCATAACAAGTCTTAACTTATATGCAATTCACTACTCTGATGGTACTCTGTATGTCTACATTGCTAGTACCAGAAATTAACGTCCACATGCTGGTAACTAAGTTGCATGGTTCAAGACTTAGATTTATCTCTGAGTCGGTACTCATGTTTCAGGGACAACTCTTTTCAGGAGGAAAATACTTGTACAAATACTACTTTAGCTGATGATTTCAGTTCTAGAAACTTTCCTGGCAAACCATCAAGGGCTTGAAAGCAAAGGGCCTTCCTCCACAATTTATGGCTCTATACACAAAGGCTACTTTTTGTAATGAATCAAAATTGACTGAGTGGCAACTAAACCATGGTGCTGTGATCTGGGATGGCAGAAATGGTGGGGAAAGAAAACATTTTAGTACAAAGGGGACCATCAAGAAGAATTAGTAAATCCTGGAAGGCAGGTCATTAACTGTCAGAGGGAATCCTTCCCTTTCCTGAGATAGAAAACTCAGAGGAAAAAGATGAAGAAAGTTCTAGGATCTAAGCAGATAAGAAGACCTGACAGCAGGTGGGTAAATTCTGATCAGAATCTAGAGATTACACATACAAAGAAAGAAGGTATAGCCTCAACAAGTAGGTTTACCAGTAGGCAAACTGACCTGGGAGACGTCCAAGCCAAAACTTCCAGAGCCAGCTTTGTTGAGTAAAGGTGGATTCAGTGACTAATGTGCTGACAGGAAGCATATCTCAGTGGTAAAGACCACAGGCGCGTGTCAGTGGCCTGGATTCAAGTCCCAGTGCTACTACTTAATAGCTGTCTGACTGAGGGCAAGTTTCTTAACCTCTCTGTCTCTATTTCCTTATCTGTAAAATGGAGATGATAATGGTATCGCATAGAATTGTTGAGGATCAAGGAGTTAATAAGTGTACAGCACACAGAACATACAATACCTGGCACACAGTAGGAGCTACTTAAATGTTAACTATTACATTACCTATATTACTTGTGCTTATTTCTGATCTCAATTTCCAAACATTGTAATCAACACAAAAGATATACTATGAAGGCAGGTCTAAGGTATGAGAGAAAAGCAAAGGGGAACGGCCATTCCCCTAAATTTGTTTTCTAAAGTTGAGAAACTCAAGTTCCTTGGGTTGTGGCAATAGAAGTTCCCTTGGCTATACTGGGGAAGAGAATGCATTAGAGTGACTACTCCCCCCATCCTTCCCTCCCTCCCAAATTTCTGGTTCTAGACCATGTTAATAGTGTGGCTATGGCCCAGTAATCCATTCTTGTGGCACAGCCCTCAGTTACCCCAATGAAGAGAACTTCTTAGATCTAAGATAACTGAGTCACCCCAGAGTTCATTCAGATGGCCCAACAGACCCCAACTCCTACGTCTGGGTTTCTGTCCAGCATCTAAGCACCAGGGTCAAGGGATCCCTGAGGTCACTGTAGATCAGAATAAAACCTGTGGCTCCTCCTAGTCAGTACCCACAGTATCAGGTCTTAATGATGCAGGTCAGCCTCCAAGAGCTGAGCAGTGAAGTCATCTCTGTCTTTACACTAGCAAAAGTAAGACAACTTGTTGGATACAGCTCCCTACCTTCACCCGCCTCACCCCATCCCTAACACACACACACACACACACACACACACTAAGTACTGGGTACTTAGGAAACTAAGAAAGCAGAATCCTTTCATACTAAAAAGAAAAATGTTGCCTTGTTTTCTGCCTGTCTTCCTACTTATATTTCTCACAAGGTTATTATATTTGTTTCTTCCTATTATCCAGTAAATGAGTTGTACAGCTATAGCCTTCTAATTAAAACAAGATGGACTCTCTCATCGCCAGCACAAAGCACTTCTGATGGTCTGCTTACAGCACTGTATGACGCCCTTCCTTCGCTGTTAGTAGGCAGAGTTGGGCTGTGGCACTGCAATTAATAAGGAATGACCATGGTCCAAGGAAGAGTTATAGATTTTTGTAAGGACCTGATCCTATGAAACAATTTTAGGTAAAAAAATTCATTTAAAAATATTTATGATTTTTCAGGCCTGGCCCCATGGCTAAGTGGTTCGAGTTCTGTGCACTCCACTTCGGGGGCCCAGGTTCAGATCCCAGGTGCAGACTTACTCCACTCACCAGCCATGCTGTGGAGGTGTCCCATGTACAAAAAAATAGAAGAGAGTTGGCACGGATATTAGCTCAGGGTGACTCTTACTCAGCAAAAAAAAAAATATATATATATATGATTTATTTTATTTTATTTTTTTGTGAGGAAGATCAGCCCTGAGCTAACATCCGATGCCAATCCTCTTCTTCTTTGCTGAGGAACCGGCCCTGGGCTAACATCTGTGCCCATCTTCCTCTACTTTATATGGGATGCTGCCACAGCATGGCTTGACACGCGGTGCATCAGTGTGTACCCAGGATCCGAACCTGCGAACCCCGGGCCACCGAAGCGGAACGCACTTAACCACTGCACCACCGGGCCAGCCCCTATATATATGTGATTTTTAAAGGGCTTGCTTAATAAAGTTACAATGTAGAGATCTTTGGTTCTTTGTATAGATCAGATAAAAGAATGATCAGGAACCACTACATATGTGCTACACACATAAGCAAAAAGAAAATCATTCTACAAAGCAAAAGCAAACTACCTACATTTAGGCAAGTGAAAGCCTTATTTTGTGAAATGGTATCTGTCCAGTTCAGCATGTGATTTAAAAGTAAGTAATCACTATGTATTAGATTTGAGGTGAAGTTTATTAGAAATAGTCTATTACTAGCTTCAGTTCATTCTTCTCAGAAGATGCCTCCAAGGAAGAATGAAAACAGACATTTAAAGATTTAATTGGTGTTTATACAATTGGGATTTTTAAATAAAAATACTCTGAACCCAAAGGCTGTGATGTTTTAATCTGTGACATTATCTCTTAGTGTCACTCAAAAATTTTTGCTGTAATAACAAAGCTTATTTTTTGCATCTTTGTAACTCTCATCATCTCTTTCCTACTTATTCCATATTTTTAAATCTTCAGCTAAAATAGTGTGAAGCTGTCTTTATTATCTAAGGTCTACCAGAAAAGACATATGGCTTTAATAGGATGACGTTTCATAATAGGATGAGTTTTGCTTATATAAGGAGGAACTGTATATTTGACTGGTAAAGAAGGTAGAAAACTCTGAAACTATTTTTGCAGTATTAGAGATGTTAAAATAATACTTAGAGGGGCCAGCCCAGTGGCGCAGCGGTTAAGTGCACGCGCTCCGCTTCGGTGGCCCAGGGTTCACAGGTTCGGATCCCAGGCGCTCACCAACGCACTGCTTGTCAAGCCATGCTGTGGCGGCATCCCATATAAAGTAGAGGAAGATGGGCACGGATGTTAGCCCAGGGCCAATCTTCCTCAGCAAAGAGGAGGACTGGCATCAGATGTTAGCTCAGGGCTAGTCTTCCTCACAAAAAAAAAAAAAAAAAAGGTTAGAAATGGAAAATCTCTTGACATTCAGCCTAAGTTTCCAGTAAGATCTCTAAACAGAAAAGAGTATGCCAGAAAAGGGCCTCAAAGGGAGACTATGGCTAGGTACTGTCTAATGCTACTACCCTTTGACCTCAGTCACTGAGTTATGCAGCATGTAAGCTGCCCCCAATCACAGACATCATATTTAACTATTATTGAATGAAATGCCATTAACTATCAGTTTTATACCTTTAGTCACAAACCTGCAAAAGGATCGGTCTTATGGTATTCCCAAAAATCTTCAAATTCCTTTCGGACCTCCTCATCCATGATGATCCCTGCAGATTGCTCATTATTTACTTGGACATAATTGGCTTTCAGGACTATCTCCACTTCACAGCGCACATCTTGCTGGAAGGGCTTCCACCGTTGCATTACGACCCCATAAATAGTGAGGTCATCGCCTGGGAAAAAGCACCAAGTGAGTCCAGCGGTAGCATCCTGCCTGCTGGGCACAGACTCACATGACAAGGGACCAGAAATGAGAAATAAACCACTCTCACATCAGGGTTTAGAGTGGCCTACACTCATCCAGAAAGCAATCTGGGGGCAAAAGAATGATTCCCAACTTTTTTTTTTAAAGGCACTTGTATCTGCACAGCTAAACGCGAAAGTCAGCATTTTCATTTTTCTTTATCTGCCACTTGATAATCACACCAAATTATCACCGTTCCCTGGGAAAATGGTTTACTGGATGGTTTATTCATTGTTGTTATATTGGGTGAAATGTTTGTCCTCTCAGAATCTCTAACCATATAGTTCTCATTTAAATAAGAGGTGGGAATTGCAGCCAGAAGGTTAAACTATAATCAATTTGGTGTCAGGAAAAGAGAATATCTTGTGATGACTGATGCTAGTTTTAGTTTCTTATATATTAATTTTCTTACATATTAATTAATATAATTAATTAACATTTTACTCACTGCCTTTTTTAATGAACAAAAGAATGAACAAACTAAGAAATCACTGAATACCTGTTCTAGTTCAAAGCTCCTTCCATAAACTATGAAACACAAGATACAACTCTTGTTTGTTTCTTCTTGGTCGGTTCCTTCCCACCTGAGGAAACTCTCCCATTCCTGGTGGGCAGAATATTAAACTTTTACAGATTTTCCTAAGAGGCCTTGGGTAGTTTCTAGCACATTCTCCAAACGCTGACATCTATGCTTATTATTACATACAATTTAATGCATCAATTAACAAGTATTATGGATGCTTGGCATTCAATATTTTACTGGAGAAAAGGGGGCCAAAAAGAGAAAAGACATAATCCTAGTCCCCAAAGATTTCAATCTTGTTGAACAAAGGATGTTGGACATACCCCAAACCCAATCCTGGTATTTATATTTTGCACAACAAATATTGTCTCTGAACTGAACAAGCAAATCTTCATTTCCAAGCCTGTGTCAAATATATATTTGCTGATGCAAAATGCTTTTCACTCTCTAAATTTCAATGTGTAATGCGTAATCTGCAAAGCTTTTGATTTTCAAGAAAAGTGTTCTGTAAATGCTAAATGCATGGAAGTGGCAGCAATTCACAGAACAGAAAGCATATTTCTAGCCCAAGGCAACTTCATCGTAAATGACGACAAACAGCTTAAAAAGTTGCTTTACACATGTTTTCAAGGTCCTTCCTAAGCCACTGCTTGGATGGTTTTCAAACCCAATCAAGAATAATGAGCATTTACTATACTGTCTGCCCCCAGTTTTTTAGATGAAAATGACTGGGGCAACTCTCTATGAGCTCTTGGAACAGTCCTCTAGTATGGCCATTTTAATGGGTTATATTTAGGTTGTGTCTAAATTAGTCAAAGGAGGAACTTAACTTTTAGATATAGCACCCACTAGTAGGAATCTGACTTCAATAAGCAGTGATAATTGGAAAATGTAGAGGACCGAAGAACGGCCAAGAACATGGACTCATCAGATTTGGATTCAAATCTCAGCTCCCCCACTCACTGGCTCTGTGACCTTGGGCAAGTTATCGAACTTTACTAGGGCTATGTCTTGACCTACAAAATGCGAATAATTATACTTACATCATAGGACTATAGTGAGAATTAACTCAGGTAATGTTTATAAATTACTTAATACAGTATCTAGAATTTAATAAGTGCTCAATAAATATTAGCTATTATACTAAACCTACCTTACATTTGTAGAGCAACTAATACCTTTAAAAAGCTTTTAATACATACAGGTTTTTATTTACTCAAATATTTACTGAATGGCAGATTCATGTGATCATCAGAATAACTGTGAGGTATATATGGTAGTCCAAATTCTATAGTAAAAGTGATTACAGACAATGTTATTTCCAGGAAGCTAAAATGCTTACTTTTATACAATCCAGTCTCTTGTGCTGCTCTATCTTCGTAAGCATATTTACCACTGCAGCCATCCCCAGTTAGACCCATCTCTGAGCTCCTGCTGCACTGAGAGTTATCAGCACACAACCCCCAACTTTATTACTCTGCACGTCAGACTGGAGTTCCTAACTAGACTGTAAATTCCCGAAGGGCAGGATTATGCCATTTATGTCTTTTGATTCCCACAGAGATTTGTAGCTATGGATAAATGAAAAATAGCTGTTGACAGACTGCATCCACCCATTCTTTATTATTAGTGACACGTGAAAGAAAAATAGCTTAAGATTTTTTTTCAGTGCAGAAAAAATTTAGGTTAGATGAACTGCATGAAAACATCTTATTCTTTATCAAAGGATATTTTCATGTTCGGGCTAAGATCATACAAGCACTGCTTTGCTGATCCAGATATGACAGATTTGGGTTAAAATCTAGAGTCCTATACGAACAAGTACTCTGACATAGCCTTGTCCATTTAGCAGGCAATCCATGATCAAAGGTGTTAGTTCCTGGTGCACTGTTTTGACAACTATAAACTGTTAATGTATTTGACATAAATTTCAAACTATGGGTTGGAGATTCTTGGGTGGATACGGGGAGTCCTTTGATAAAGAATTATTCTTGACTCTAGATACTGAACTCTTTTATTTCCATAGAGTGTTTGCCTCATCGTTTTTTGAAATGTCAGCTCAGTAAATATTTTATAACTGAGGCATTTGGAAAAGTCTAGGGTTAACAAAAGGGAAATGACAAAATTTGCAGAAATAAAGTACTTTCGATCTGCCCAGGAGGGGACAACTGGGATGGGGAATAAGAGATCAGACATACCTGTTACTGCCCAGGGGACACACTTGTGCTGTCTGTTTTTTATAGAGATTAAGGGTGTTTGAGTGAGAAGGGAAAATATTTAAAGCAGGGGATGTTGAGGTGAACTGAAAGGCAGCTCTTGACAAATTCAGCTAAGGTTTAGCAATCATTTCCATTTTCTGACCCACCTTCTATTTAACTTAAATGTTGGATAGCAAGTGGAAATTGCTAGGCAAATGGTAAAAGAAGAGTTTTTAAGTTATTTGGAATAAGAGGAGGAAAGAGAAAGGATAATCTCTTATATCCTCCTCGGAGACAAAGGTCTGGTCAAGGCCTGGGAATGTGTGTAGGGAGCAGGAGATGCTGGCTTTAGGGGAACAAGTTTCCATTCACCTTTTCTTGGGCTGGAAATAGTAGTGTCAGAGAAGCTGATGAAAGTTTTGCAGCTCTGAGGACAACCTTGTTTGAGATTGAAAGTCTGTAAATCCAAAAGATTGTTAAACTCTATACTAGAGTCTTCACTGCCTGTCAGTTCTATTAAGACTACAGTGAGGGAGAAGAAGGATGGATGAGGATACCTGTGTTGAAATGTGGAAAACGTCAAGTACTTTGGATAGAAAAAAAAATTTTTTTTTTTGGTGAGGAAAAGTGGCCCTGAGCTAATACCTGTTGCCAATCTTCCTCTTTTTTCTTGAGGAAGAGTGTCCCTGAACTAACATCTGTGCCCGTCTTCCTCTATTTTGTATGTGGGTTGCCACCACAGCATGGCTTGATCAGTGGTGTAGGTCCATGCCCGGGATCTGAACCTGCGAACCCGAGCTGCCGAAGGGGAGCATGTGAACTTGACCACTACACCACCAGGCAGACCCCAGAAAAAAAATTTTTGATTAAAACTTTTAGATGATCACTTTGAAGGCAGTCTGCTTCTGTCTGAGATCTTCACCCTTAGCTGACCAGTGCATGTAAATTTTATAGCCCTACCCTCTACCAACAGCTGAAGAAAGCACCCTTTATTCTCTCATTCTCTTTCATTTTGCATTATATATGCAAATATCACCAACAGATCCGTTTCAAAAACATACCAAATTTTATTAAGAAAATCTCTTAAAGGGCCAGCCCGGTAGCTTAGCGGTTAAGTGCGTGCGTTCTGCTGCTGGCGGCCCGGGTTCAGATCCCGGGCGCGCACCGACGCACCGCTTCTCCGGCCATGCTGAGGCCGCGTCCCACATACAGCAACTAGAAGGATGTGCAACTATGACATACAACTATCTACTGGGGCTTTGGGGGGGAAAAAAAAAGGAGGAGGATTGGCAATAGATGTTAGCTCAGAGCCGGTCTTCCTCAGCAAAAAGAGGAGGATTAGCACGGATGTTAGCTCAGGGCTGATCTTCCTCAAAAAAAAAAAAAAAAAAGAAAAAAGAAAATCTCTTACATTTAAATGTGGTTACTGCAGAAGAGAGAATAGTATTTACCCTCTTGGGCTACACTGCTGATTTATAAAACCTCCTAATATCTTAATTTTTTAAACAAAATATTTCCCTACTGTTTTCTTTGTAAAAACAATAATTTTAAAATTCAGTGTAGAACACTTCCATTCTATAGATGTGGGCTGATACTAATCCTTACCCTTCAACAAATACTTCCAAGTTTGATTTGTTCCCAGGCTCCCTCATGAAGAGTAAGAGGGGATAAGGTAAGTTCAGAGGGGCAGAGGAGAGCTTAGGAGGTGCCTGGTTGGCCTAAAGATCAAAGCATAACTCAGAATGACATCGCAACAACCAGGCTTCTGGAGCCCTCAGATTTCCAGAACAGCTCTGAGGCTCAGAGAGTCTTTGATTTGCCTGGAACATTGTAGATCATCCAGAGCAACTGCCATCATGAGGACTAAATCACTAACAAGGTGCTGTACATCACCTGCTTGACTGTCTCCAAGAAAAGAAACTCACCATCATCCAAGGCCCATGTTGGATGCCTCTGATTATTAGATACTAAGTCAAGATCTCTTACTGTAGCTTCAGCCCACTGAAACCCAACAGTATCTTCTGTAATTACAATTCCATGTCTATATCACAATCTTCCAACTAATGAAAGTTTTCTGTCATTTCCTTCCTGAGGCTTCTCCATGCTAAAAACCCACAGTTCTTTCAGTATGGTTTCAAGTTCCCTCCCAATTCAGGCAATGTGCCAATGGAAACACTGAGGACCCCAAATCAATGTGACTCCTGCAGTGGTGTCACCGGCACAGAGCAGAGAGAAACAATCACCTCCTGTCTTCTAGACACCAATCAGAATGCAGTAGCATTTGACAGAAGCACATCCTCTGATGCATTTTATACAATGCTGTTAAGCTATGGTGCACTGACGAGGGTCCTGGACGAGAAGTCAGTGGATCTGGGTTCAGGTTCCCGTTCTGCCACTTAACTCTCCAAGTGACCTTGGGCAAGTCAGGTCCTTCATCTATAACACAAGCAAAAGTGGCTTTTCCTAAGAAATACTTTAGGACCTCCTACAGAAGCTAACAAAAGTTCATTCTTACCAGATTTGCAACTATCCACTAAGTCATCTTCCAGGATAACCTTCATAGATCGTGGAATACTTCCAACAGAGAGCCTTTGAACCTAGCAAGGAAAAGAAAACAAATACTGAGTATGCTTAAATACATGCTAAGTATTCCAAAGCCTAGCAGTTCTTAAAATTAGTTTCCATTTCTCTGGTATTATCATACAATTTAATTATGATGGGGATTTATGGAATTTTCTTAAAAATTGTGCCTACTATCAATTTAAGAATTCACTAAAACTAGAGTAAAACAGAAACATCAATATGGAAAATATTCCCAAATATAATCTACCTGTGGATGGTCAAAATAAACAAATGCTCCAAATACTAAACACGATAACAAAGTTACTTACCTAGAAAAGAGAGGCAGTTCTTTCCTGATCTCTAGTCACAATACCCAGAACAAATCACTCAGTTCCTTTGATATTCCTTAGTAACAGAACCCTGGTTTTATTCCATGTGGACATGTGCCAAGTAAAAAGACTATCTCTCCCAGGCTCCCTTGCAGCTAGGTGTGGTCATATGACTAAGTTTTGGCCAATGAGATATAAGCAGACATGCTGTAGGAGACTTCGAGGGAGAGTGCTTAAACAGAGACTTGGGTTAGATGGCATCCCTTTTTCCTGTTCTCTGACTGGGATAGATGTGATGCAGTTGGAGCTATCATCCTGGACCACAGACAACCATAAGAATAGAAGCCATGGGTTCAGAATGGTGTAGAAAGACAGAAGGAGTCTGAGTCCTCAACACTGAGAAACCTACACGCTAGCCTTGGACTGCGTATCTCCTACTTATTTTAGATGAAAGAGTAAACCTTTGTGTTTAAGCTGCAAGTAAAGGCAATCAGGCTCACTCTCATTTGTTGAAGTGTTTACGTATACCTCATTTGGCACAGCAAATAAAATTGGGCCAAAACCCCAAATCCTGCCCACTCCAATGTTTAACAACCAGTTAAACCCACTTAATTTTCTCCTATCCATTAATTAAGAACAGCTACTTTGAACTACTTAAATATTCATTTCTCTAATTTTCACATAATTATTGTCATTCCACAACCCTCTTGCCAATGCTCTATATAAAAAGATGATTATTTCATGGTCTCTAAAAACTGATTGCACATACTGATATATGTGCAACAGTTTCACGTGTGATCTTCCACAAAGTGATAACACAAGTTCCATCTGTAAGCCGTTTTGTGTTCCCTAGTCCTACGCAATTTCCCCATAGCTGAAAAACACTTCTTCAAATTTGTTAATTTTCTCATTTATTTGATTTATATACCTGTTCCTGAATTTTGATTTCCTGATAATCTCTACACCTGGTTGGAGATGAAGACAAGCCTGAGAGGCAAGTGAATTTTGAAGAATCACAGCTCTCCAAGCTGGGGCATGAGGACGGCCGGCAGAAGGTATAATACTGCTCAAAGTCAGCCTTGACCACAAACACGTGCTTGCACTTGTTACACATGTAATCCCGCTCAAACTCCAGCACCTTCACCAGACTTGTTCGAATCACTGTCCCAGTGACAGATAAAAAGTGTCCCACATCCTTGGTTTTAGGGATGTGCTCCCTCACCAGCTCGGGACAGACGGGCAAACCTGATGGAGAAAAAACAGAAAAACCACATCAACTTATACCCTGGGATTTGACTCTATGCAATATATTCTTTTCATATTTCCTGGGGGAGAAAGTATAATTTCAGGAAAAAAAATCTTTGTGTTTTACTTTGGAAAAAATCAGATCAACTCAATTAAGAAAACAGAAAAGAATTATTTTGAATAACAATTATCAATGGACTCTTTTTAAAAGTACATATCTAGATGATATAATGATCAGGATTAAAAAAAGGATTGATTCTCATAAGAGGTCTATCTCAGTAGGATCGAAATACAGTATATAATTGTAACCACACTGAAGAACATACTGCCACGTGCCACACATAAAATCAATTGATGTCTCTTTGAGTAAACCACAAAGCTGAGTGATAAAGAGATGGTAGCATAATGACCATAGAGTCCCACAGTGCTAGAAGGCTAGTGTTTTGTTTGGTAGGTTCAGGATTTATTAATACATAAATCTGACAGTGTTTTCAAGCCTTGAATTACCTAGAGGTTTACCCAAAGCATCACTTGATCCTTTAAAAACCTTGTGCTTTTTCACAGTTAATAAAGAGGCAACTTAAAAGGTGCAAAATGCCAAGCAAAATTCTTATGCAGAAATGCCCTCTTTTTCATGTTTGGCTACAATGCACCATTAGAGTAGAGAGATGCTGGCTGGAATGGTCACAGGCTGCCTCCTAACAGGTTTATAGAGGTAGCGTTTGTTACGCGGGTTCATGTCCCACGGTCTATTGTATTGTCCTTAGAATTTAGTAGCTCCGAAACCTGATAAGTGTGCACACTGAAGACAAATCTATCAGATTTGCCAAGCTCATGAGAAATAACCATAATTGGTATGATTATACTTTAAGTTTCTTCTCCTGGATCCCGCATTCTCTTCCTGATGGGGTGGCCTCCATCCCCAGCTGCCACATATACAGCAACAAGTGCCAACTCTATTTTTTTTTTTTTTTAGCCAGAATCTGTCTCTCAAGCTCTATAGCTAAATATCCTCTTGTCTATCACATGTCTCAAACTAGATATCTTCTTGCAAACTTAGTGTATCAAAAAGAGTCGTCATGATTTCCCTCCACTCTCTCTGCCCCTCTCCATCTGAAAATGGTCCTCCACTCTCTCTGCCCCTCTCCATCTGAAAATGGTATTTCCTTATTTATTCCTTCAACAGACATTCACTGATTGACTACCTCACTCAGTTCATGGCTTACCCATCTCCCTACCTGGACACTTACTCCATCCTCACTGACCTCAGGATGCAGGTTAATGTTTCATCTAAATCAAGGTTCTTGATTAGAGGCCTTGGCTGGGCTTTAGGAAAGCCCCAAACCTCTTGAAATTTAGGCAAAAATTTATGTATATACACATACCTGCATTTTCTGCATACCATAACTTTCCCAACATATAACCCAGAAGAACCACTTATTTAATCCTCAGTCCCATAGTTCTATTGATTTGTATATCATCACCTCTAAGAATAGAAGGGACTTACATTTTGGGAGCAGTTGCCAAATCTCCCACGCCCTCCTCTCATTTAATAGTAATGCCCTAAACTCTCTTATCGCTGACTCATGCCTCTGGTCTTAGATCACATGCCACAAGACCTCCTCCAATGCTATGACAACATGACAAGGACATTCATAATCACTTTCTGCCTATATCACTCATCTAGGGCCTTAGTCATATATTGCTTTGCATTGGTCCTTAACCATTTTATATCTGGAGGGTAGGGTCACTTCTTGAAATCCTTCTCATGCCCCTCTGTGCCCAGCCCAGTGTTTTATTAAGCACTTTCAGATAAGGAGAAAATTAGTGAATAAAAGATAAGGGGGAATGGGCTTTCCCTCTCTCTCTAGCCTCACCTTTACCATATCTGGCCTCCAATCTCCCAGTCCAGAACAAAATGCTTGAATTTTTCTGTGCATGTCATGGGGCTCCTCATCTCTGTACCTCTCCTTAGGCACTCTCTCTGCTTTGTCTGGAGAACTCTCCTCAGTTCACTCGGCCAGGAAGAGCGCACTCAAGTTTTCCCTTCTGCAAGAAAACTTCCCTAAGTCCAGGCTAGCACCCACACACATAAACAAATGGAATAGCTAAGCAAAATGGTCAAATGAATGCACCATTGCATAAATGATGCCTTTTATATCTGGAGGAATCTTCTGCCAGGAAGAGTAAAAAGGCACTCCTTGGTTCCAGGGACACCTTTGTTTCCTTGCAAATGATGACCTAGGCCTATGTATGCTGGCTCATGACAAGTCTACATAAAACTGGTTTTATTTCAATCTGCATACGGAGATGTGCTGGAGAGAGATTACTCTCTTGGGAAGAAGGCCAGTGGCAGGCGGAAGAAGGCACGACTCAGTTCCAAGGTCCCTCAAATGCTCACCACCCTTCACTGTTCCTCTAGAAGTATGGCCAGGACGAGTGAATTCCCTGCTGCTCACCCCCAGCAAGGGTCCTATGTCTAATGCAATTACAACCAATTTTCCTAAGAAAATTAGCTTTTAATTATCTTCTATACTTTTACGGAACAGGGCAATATGTCATCCTTAATGTTCTCAAATTAGAAACAAAAGAGCAGTTTACATCTTCCTGACTCATGTATGTGGTACCTGTTAGGATAAATTTTTTTTAGCATTGAGCAAATTAGTCTAAAACATGACAGAAAAAGTGGTTTATTTTGTATAGTAAAGTAACTATATTATTTTAAGAAAAGGTTAATAGAGGTGAGTACATTTCTGGATCTTCAGATTCTTTTTTTCATTTCATATTATTAGGATTTTTGTGTGTGTGTGTGTGTGTGTGTGTGTGAGGAACATCAGCCCTGAGCTAACATCTGATGCCAATCCTCCTCTTTTTTCTGAGGAAGATTGGCCCTGAGCTAACATCCGTGCCCATCTTCCTCTACTTTATATGGGACACTGCCACAGCATGGCTCGACAAGCAATGCGTCGGTGTGCGCCCAGGATCCAAACAGGCGAATCCCGGGCTGCCACAGCGGAGCTCATGCACTTAACTGCTTGCGCCACTGGGCCAGCCCCTAGGATTTTTAAATAAACTTATAAGACAAAGATAAAGGCAACATAATGTTAAGCAAAACTGACCATATACAATCGAAATCCGAGTACTAAAAAAGGCTAAGAGAAAGGGTTTTGATAGAAATGTCAGTTTATTTTAACCTTTCTGTCTTACTATACATATTACTAGTATGTTCTTCAACTATCCCAGTGAAGCACGAGGTACATCAGACACTAAGCCACCATTAGCGCTGAACACAAAATCTTTATCATTTTCTGATTCATTCACGGATAAAAGAACAAAGAAATTTTTGAAATAGAGATATGTCCATATCAATTACTTCAGGTCCTTGGGTCTCATCTTCTTAAGGGGCTCCTGTACGTATGTAATTAAATTTGTTTTTCTCCTGTTAATCTGCCTTATGTCAATTTAATTATTAGGCCAGCCAAAGAACCAAGAAGGGTAGAGGAAAATTTTTTCCTCCCCTGCAGAATCATAGCAAGTGTTTTGTTAATAACAAATCCCCACCATTCTGAAATGTACTATAAGATATTTATTTTTAAACAAAATGGTACATGTGTTCTCCAACTTAATTACAGACTGCAGAAATTCAAAGACACAGCTTTGCCACCACAAGTTGATTGCTCCACTGCAGTTTCTTAAAAATTAAGATGCCTGATCTGTCATTCATTCAACAAAAAGTTATTGAGTGTCTAATAGGTGGCCAGCACAATGCTAAACTTGAGATATAAAAATAATGAATTTCCTACAATAGTTTTGAAGATGACTGGGTAGCATCTACCACTTTTCTAGTTCTTTGTATTATCAATTCTAGTAGTCACAAAAGCTCATAAAGCTGCTTTGAATTACAATTTTATACCTACATGTGGGTATATGTGCACACAAATATACAGTTGTCTCCACACATTCTCCCTCCCCTCAGCTGGCACGGCTGGTACCCCAGCCTTTCAAATGTCCAGAGAAAAAAGTATAAAATCACTTCTGCTCTAACAGTGACCATCAACTACACAACGGGTATATTTTTAAGTGTCATTGTCAATTATTTCTTAGTGCTCAGAATTCAATATGTATTAGGATGTCTCAAAATCCTCCTAGAGAATACTATGGCAGTAAAATCCTTAAGTGATTCACCTGATATCCTGGCATGAAGATTCTGCTTCATAGAGACACCCTCAAGCTGAGAAAGGGACTGGAGAACTGTAAGGGCTGATCTCTGCAGAGCACTGTCAAAAACAGTTAGTACTTCATTGGGGAATGCGTTGAAATATTCCCCAATTTCCATGTTCGTCTCAAAAAGTGTCATTGCGTTAACCACAACTGGGTAATGAGCATCTTCATCTCTTTCCTTCAAGATTAGAAGAATATCATTCTTATGGTACTCCGAAACATACGACTCAAACACTTGACCAACCAGTGTAACTTGATCAACATTCATCTTGAATCCAGGTAACTAAAGAAAAAGAAAGGACCATATTACACCTTTGGTATTGTAGACTTAGACAGAAGTTAACAAAAAAGACTGTTTAGTTGCAAATCATCCTGACTTTGAGTCACACTATAATCTCAAAATATTATCTGAATTCAAATCTTAATTAGATCTGAATTATCTGTTATAGTCACCTAGTAAATGTATTTGTTTTTTTTTGCTGAGGAAGATTGGCCCTGGGCTAACATCCATGCCCATCTTCCTCTACTTTATATATGGGACACTGCCACAGCATGGCTGGATAAGCAGTGTGTAGGTCCACACCCGGGATCTGAACCTGTGAACCCCAAGCCATCAAAATGGAGCACACGAACTTAACCACTACACCATCAAGCTGGCCCCAGTAAATGTATTTTTTAAGTGAGTGAGGTTAAATCTCAGTCAAAGAATTATGTTGGTACTGACTATTGAAATCCAAAATGGTCCAATGCCTTTCCCATATCTTTTCCCAAAACTTCGTCCTCATTAACCATATGATATAGTATGTAAAAGGCCCTTGCCTTCTCTATAACCACATTCCATACACACACATGCTATCAAGTATAAAATCTTAAATGCCAGTCTTTTGGCTAAAGTTCCTCCTGGTAGAGTTCTTTGCAAGTGCCCTGGTTCTAGGTTTTATTCACATAAAGAACATATCTTTCTCTCCATTCATTCTTTCTTGTTACACACACACATATTCTTGTGTATTCTGCTACATAAATGGAACGCACACTATTAGTTTCAGATAGTTAGCCAGTTCTGACTTAAATAGTTAAGACTGGCTTTAGAAATTTACATTTGGAGGGGAATTTGTTTCCTACTTTCTCTTCCTAACCTAGGAAAACTATTGGCTTCAGCAAAAACAGCTGTCAAGAGTGTGAAGAAAACAGATAATTAAACTGAGGGGAGGAAAGGAAAATTGGGCTTCAAATGATAAATAACTAGGATCAAAAATAAGTACAGTATATATTACTTCACCTATCTCATTCCCCTGGCAATATTTTTTTAAAAATTTGTATCTACAGATTAAAAGGGCCTACCCTCATTCTTCTTCACATATACCCGCAGATAACACATAAAAGGTATTATGTTGGGAAATGAAAAGCACAATAAAAAGTCCTCTATGCCTTCAGAGAATCAAGGACAGATGAAATGAAATAGAGCTCCATCAGTGGTAAAATGCAATACGAATAGGACCACAAAGGAGAGAAGGATTACATTTAAATGGGGTGACCATCCCAGAGATGGCAATGGGCAGTTACAACTGTCCGAATCCATCATCTAAGAAACTCTTACTTGGTTTGGAAACAGAGAGGGCACTGGAGGACAAGTGTACTTTAATCTGACTTATTTCATTCAACCAACATTCATTGCACTAGGCTTGACAAACAGAAAGATGATTAAAGAAGTCTGTTATGCAGCTCCCAGTTAGCATCCTAAATGTGTGTCACGCATGCTATTTATTAGCAACAATTTGCCTTCTCTGGGAATGACTATTCCGGAAGGTGTGAAAGGAGTAACTGGGGTATACCACAGTGAGGCCGAGAGTCCTGACAACTACAGGATGCCAGTGTGTATCTGTATATCCGTGAGAATAAGCGAACATCACTATGGCCACCGCACGTTAAGTGATTTCTTTTGGTTAAGTAATACAAGTTCAGCCAAGTGTAAAGCAGAAAAAGCACTTGGGATGAAACTAATCATACAGTATTTCCACAACGTGGCCTTTGGTAAAAAAAAAGAAAAATTGCACTCCCAAGCAAGAGCGGCTACAAGAGAAGCTCTAAGATTCCATAAATGCATATTAAATTTGGAGCCACAAGTTCAGCAATTTAAAAGTCAGCTCCACACAGGGCAGGAAAGGGGCAGCTGCAGAATTCATGGTTCAAATCAAGGTCAAATTAAATTTGACCTGGTCTTAGCTGAAATAGCATCTTTTTTAAAAACAGAATTCACTTTGAATATCTGCGCAAAACTGATCAACTGCTTCTGAGCAGTTTGCTAACCTAACCCTATAACTTTCAAGCGCCCCTTCCTTTTTCTTATTGAATAGCTGAGGTCAAAATAAAATCACTTGGCGCTACTTTAGATCAAACTGAAACGCCCACAAGAAAAGGGAGGGTGGATGAGCGGGGACTTCCAGCTGCACCCCAGGGAGTCGCCTGGCGCCCAGCCGCCGCCGCACCAGCCAGGAGCCCCGCCCCCTCCTGGCGGCCCAGGGGCGCCCCGTCCAAGCCCCGCCCCTGCCCCGCCCCTCTCGCCCGCCGCCGCG